AGTTCATACACTTCACTAACACCTTCCACCCCAACCTTAAATTTACCTGGACCATCTCTAACACCTCTCTCCCCTTCCTGGACCTCTCTGTCTCCATATCGGGCAACCACCTCGAAACCGATATTCATTTCAAGCCCACCGACTCCCACAGCTACCTAGAATACTCCTCCTCCTACCCACCTTCCTGCAAAAATGCTATCCCCTATTCCCAATTCCTTCGCCTCCGCCGCATCTGCTCCCAGGATGAGGCATTCCACTCCCGTACATCTCAGTTGTCCTCGTTTTTCAAGGACCGTAACTTCCCCTCCTCGGTGGTCGAGAATGCCCTCAACCGTGTCTCCCACATCTCCCGCACCTCATCCCTCACACCCCGTCCACGCAATAAAAACCAAAAAAGAATCCCCCTCGTCCTCACGTACCACCCCACCAAGCTCCGGATCCAACGCATCATCCTCCGACACTTCCGCCATCTGCAATCCGACCCCACCACCAAAGACATCTTTCCCTCCCCACCTTTATCTGCTTTCCGGAGGGACAACTCTCTCCGTGACTCCCTTGTCCGCTCCACACTCCCCTCCAGCTCCACCACACCCGGCACTTTTCCCTGCAACCGCAGGAAGTGCTACACCTGCCCCCATACCTCCTCCCTCACCCCCATCCCAGGCCCCAAGAAGACTTTCCACATCAAGCAGATGTTCACCTGCACATCTGCCAATGTGGTATACTGCATCCGCTGTACCCAGTGTGGCTTCCTCTACATCAGGGAAACCAAGCGGAGACTCGGGGACCGCTTTGCAGAACACCTACGCTCGGTTCGCAACAAACAACTGCACCTCCCAGTCGCGAACCATTTCAACTCCCCCTCCCATTCCTCAGACGACATGTCCATCCTGGGCCTCCTGCAGTGCCACAACGATGCCACCCGAAGGTTGCAGGAACAGCAACTCATATTCCGCTTGGGAACCCTGCAGCCCAATGGTATCAGTGTGGATTTCACAAGCTTCAAAATCTCCCCTCCCCCCACCGCATCCCAAAACCAGTCCAACTCGTCCCTGCCTCCCTAACCTGTTCTTCCTCCCACCTATCCCCTCCTCCCACCTCAAGCCGCACCTCCATCTCCTACCGACCAACCTCATCCCGCCCCCTTGACCTGTCCGTCCTCCCTGGACTGACCTATCCCCTTCCTAACTCCCTACCTACACTCACCTTTACTGGCTCCATCCCCGCCTCTTCGACCTGTTTGTTTCCTCTCCACCTATCCTCTCCTCTATCCATCTTCTATCCGCCTCCCACTCTCTCCCTATTTATTTCAAAACCCCCTTCCCCTCCCCCTTTTCTGATGAAGGGTCTAGGCCCGAAACGTCAGCCTCTCTGCTCCTATGATGCTGCTTGGCCTGCTGTGTTCATCCAGCCCTGCACCTTGTTGTCCATGATTTACATTGTCACCATTTTTGGAATTTTGGTTGTTTTTGAAATCGAGGCAATGGGATGTGGGTTAGTGCTGAGAAATGTTATTTCGAAGGTCAGAGCATCATTCTGAAACAGTGAACGAAATCATCAGCTTCAAGGAAAATGAATACAGTCAAGAGACTGGTGGACAAAGTCTCCAGAGACAGGGAATTACTCAAGTTTCATACCTGTCATGTTCCTACACCCTGTGGCTTCACTTCGATAAGTTATAACTCTGTTTCTTCATCCATTATATTTAATCAGATAGAATAGTGACATTCACTCTTGCTCGTACTTAAAATAAAATAAGATGCCCATGGAAATCAACAAATTCAATGAAACTTGAGTTGGTTGTATTTCCATTTTCTCTTTGGAATGCCTTGAGGAACTTTTCTAAAGGAAAGAGGTCTAAGCATTTCATACAAGTAAGAATTTGGCTTGTTGCTGCTCTGGAGCTATGTCCTACTTCTGCATGTTCTTTGGAAGTTACCTGCAGTCTTCCTGATGTCACATTCTTTTGCCATGGTTTGGCATTGCCTTTGCCTGTGAGGCTGTGTTGTTCTACAGCATTGTTACTGACTCTTAGTATCTGCCATTTGATTGGAATGCAATAATGTGTTCATTTGTTTAGCTTCAAATTTAGCACTTAATTTTAAAACAATTCTATATCATTTGAGAAAGAATAAGTGTTCCATCCTATTTTTACCACTCCCTCCCCCTTGCCCCTAGCATTACCGTTTGTTTTGCTGTCAAGGATCTCTATCATGATGCCTGGAGTAATCTTCTCAAAGGTCCCTGCCTCCTCCCAGTGTGGAGAGCCCACAATGTTTTCCTGTCTCTCTTTAATAACTCTGATGTGAATATTTTCTCAGGAGTACGGTTTGAACTCTGTTCCTTCTCCCTTAAGGGCTGCTGATATTTATTCGGTTTCACGTTTAAATTACTGACTAACAACCTGGGTCGTCTTAAGGATGGAATATTCCTAAAGTCGGAAACCCACTTGCCTTCTGATTTTTTTTCCTTGGTTGAATGGATTTTCATTTTGGCCTTAAGATACTTAAGCAATGGTGTCTACTGCAGATTACCATGTCATATTGGGTGCTGGGGTTAGAGTAGTCTGTGCAACAAATCCTCCTTTCTAATCAGATACAAAGGGTCTGTCTAATTATCAGTAGCAGAGGACAAACTATCTGAGGATCTTAAATGAAGACGAAGTTGCCTTCCACAACAAGGTGTTACTTCTATCATCGATACAATGAACATTGCCATGTTAGGTATCGTTACACTACTGGGACTTTGTGCTAGACTGATTCTCCATCCAAAGAACTGTGAAGTTATCAGATTGGGTGGAGATTAATGTTTCTTTGACATTAACTGCTTCAGAGGCATTATCTCAAAGATCAAATAGCCTCATCCCCTACCTACCATGGGAGCTTTAATTGCCTGGGAAAATAGCTGAGCATGATGCTAAGGAATTCAAATTTTAAGAGTGTGAATGCTGCTGTGAGTCTGACTCCAGGTTTGTCATGGTGTGGGGGGGAATTGGTCTGCTCTCCAGAGAAGGGTCAGTCATGGGGACCTGCCAGTCGTGTGAATGCAGCGTCAATGCCAGTGTTCCCCAGCAGTTCGACTGGAAGCAAAAAGGGCAGGACAGGCTGCTCAAGGTCAATGTCTTTCCAGACCCTGGTCAAGAGAGAGGTTCCCCACTATTGCACATACACCCACTTCCTGTGTTCTAAAAGCTAGCATCATTGACATCCAATAACATCCTGCACCTCTACCTCCCCTAAAACATCAAGCTCTGAGTTTTGAAACATCTCCATGTATGCAGGAGCCAGAGCCCCTTCAATCCACAGTAACACTCCCTGGGAGTTGCTCAGGCACCTACCTGGAAATAGCTGCCGGGTTGGAACACTGAGCTGAGTTTGTTTTGTCACTTTGTACGCCACATCTGCCCCCTGTACATTCCTCCTGTTCTTGCAGAATCCAGGGGTTTTACGAATTCCATTTGGCAAATTATGAAAGTCTAAAGTTTGGAGGACATCGACAGGTTCAGCTGTGAATGGAGAGAGAGAAAACACAGGGGAGGATTATTAAACAATAATAAAACAAGTGGTAAAACTCATTTCTATCAAACAACCTGAGGAAGGCCCAAATACTTTACAGACAATGAAATGTTTCATAGACACGGCTGTAATGTAGGAAACACAACAGCTGATTTGTGCACAGCAAGATCCCATTAAAAGCTTGTGATCATGGGCAACCTGTTTCTCTGATGTCGATTTGGGAGATAAATATTAGCCAAGAGCACCAAGGGCCACTTACCTCCTCAACTGTGAATTTGCACCTCAGCATTTACTCAGAGCTCCTGCAGTGAGATGCGTGTTGAAACAGGGAGCACTGGACAGTGTTTTTTTGATCAGATTGCAGGGACAGTACCATGGTCAGGATGTGGAACATCACACTTAATATACCCCAAGGATCCAGCCTTGCAAAACGCAGAATACATATTCCTGATTCATTGATAGCATCAAACTGGAAATGAGAGGATAAAATTACAGATTTCGGGAGGACACGGATGGGGAAAATGACAGACTCATGCCAGATTTGACAGAGATGTGTGATGTGACACCTTTTGGCAGGAAGATTGATATAAAGTAGGATGATTTTTGAGTCAGGTGCAGGTCAGAAAAGCCTCAGGGACACTGGCCCAATGGGATGGAAGTGGTGCATTGCGTAATGTTACTGTGTTAACATTTCCATCGGCCCCGGCTATGCTATGGTTCAAAACCACCATTAGCAAATAAATAATTAAATTAACAATTAGTAAATCTACAACATGTATCTATTCTCAGTCCAGGTGACCACGATTCATCGATGTCCTTTAGGGGAGGAAACTGCCATCCTTACCTGGTCTGACCTACATGTGACTCCAGACCCACAGCAATGTGGTTGAATCTCAGATGCCCTCTGAAGTGGCTGAACAAACCACATCATGAAAGCGCAATCAGGGATGGACAACAAATGTTTGTCCAATCAGTGACAGCCACATCTCGGGGAAGAATGAAGAACGTTATCTGTGCACTTCCTGAGACGGATCACCTCACAGCAACACTACAGACTGCACTGAGACCTGCTCTCACTCACTGCTATACCCAGGTCTCTTACCTCAACTGTTCCACTTGTCTCACTGCCAACATCCACATTCTACACTCGATAAATATAAATTCATTCAAATCTTGGTTGACAGTGCCTTAACTCACACCGTGTTCCATTAACCTGTCACTCCTGGGCTGTCTTTACATATTCCTCCATGATCTCAGCACACACTCCCCCCACCCCTTTTACCTCAGTAACCGTGTCCAGCCCCAGGGCTCTGAGAGATCTCTGCACCCCTCTGATTCTCTCCAGCATCTCTCAGCACCCATTTCTCTACCATTGGCAGCAAAGCCCTCAGTTTCTGGGCCCAGGCTCTGGAATTCCCCCTTTAACCCTCTCCTCGTCACACTCTCTCCTTCTTTCAAATACTCCTCAAAAACTACACCTTTGACCAAGTCGAGGTCACCTTTCCTTACATGTCTTGACACGGCTCCTGGTCAAATTTCTGTCAATAACTTCTTGTGAACTATCTTACGAGGTTTAACAACATTAAAGGCACTTTGCAAACATTTTTTTTTCCTCTCTATTCATTCACGGGATGAGGGCATCGCTGGCATTTATTGCCCAGAGGGCAGTTCAGAGTCAACCACATTGCTGTGGGTCTGGAGTCACATGTAGGCCAGACCAGGTAAGGATGGCAGTTTCCTTCCCTAAAGGACATTAGTGAACCAGATGGGTTTTTCCCCCAACAATCGGCAATGGACTCACAGTCGTCATCATTAGATTCTTAATTCCACATATTTATTGAATTCAAATTCTACTATCTGCCCTGGCAGGATTCGAACCCAGGTCCACAGAGCATTATCTGGGTCTCTGGATTAACAGTCCAGCGACAATACCACTGGGCCATCACCTCCCCTGCAATTGTTAGAATTTAAGGTTAGGACCCAGTAGGAGGATTGTGTTCAGTCCTGAGCTCCACTCTTTAGGAAGGATGTCAGTGTCTTGGAGGAGATTTACTACAATGGGAGCAGGAATGAGGGACTTCAGTGAATGTGGAGAGACTGGAAAAGCTAGGATTGTTCTCTGTAGATCAGAGAAGGATCAGTCGGGGACGGGGTGGGGGGCGGAGGTTTAACCAAAGTGTTCAAAATTATGGAGAGAGGTTGATTGAGTCAGGTCAGGAGAAAATATAGAGGAAGAGAATTCAACTGTAACTTTGTAAAGGGATTGGGTAAACATTGAAGGGGAAAGTACAAGCGTGAATAATTTGATCAATTTTCAAAGCCAGAATAAGCACAATGGGCCAAATGGCCTGCTCCTGCCTGAGAATAGACAGGACTGTGTAACAACAACATGTACTGAAGCAGTGTCTTTAACACAATGAAGCATCACAAAGCAACACAGAGGTTATGATGATAGTATAAGGTAGCGGTGGAAATTAGATAGACCTTAGGTTTAGGGTAAAAGTTCGGCACAGCATCGTGGGCCGAAGGGCCTGTACTGTGCTGTACTGTTCTATGTTCTATGTTCTATGTTAGTTGTTCAAACAAGTGATCAAACTCGGAGCTGTGAGGCAGGATTGTCCTCGAGCAGGACAGAGAGACGGAGTGAGGGAATACTTCCTCAGCTGGATGTACAGACATCAGTGAGGACAGAATGGTGTGGGGTACAGGCTAAACATCAGAGTTGGAACATTACAAAGAAGCTTGAGAGGTTAACGGAGATAGGGAGGGGTGTAGGGGCTGCAGGAGGTTACAGGGATAGGGAGGGGTGTAGGGGCTGCAGGAGGTTACAGAGATAGGGAGGGGGTGTAGGGGCTGGAGGAGGTTACAGATGTTGGAACAATGGGACTTGTGGCTGCATTGAGGTTTACTGTCAATGATGGCCCCAAGCTGAGTTCTCCAAGATCACTGAGGGTTGTCCATGTTTACAGATTCCTGCCAAAAACAAAACCCATTCATAACACAGTCTCAGGAGGAAACCAACTCCAACAAAGACAAGAGGCAAAATAATTAAAAAGCTGGATTTCCACATGATTCTATGATCCCAGAGCCCTGAGCTCACCCCATCCATTGGGATCCAGGATAGAAGGAAATGTCTACCTGTCACACTCCGAATTGACCCCAGCTCCAGACGGTAATCCTCTGGATTGGGCACTCCAAAAATAGGGAACCAAAAATATTAATGACAGACCATTCAGGTGATGTCAGCAACATACAAAAAGGAGCAAGTGATCAAGGCCTTCAAACGTGCTCCACCATTCTCTAGGATCACAGCTGATCATCCACTCCCAATAACTCTCCACCCTCTGCCCAACAAGAATCCATCCTCCTCTGTCTGAAAAATATTCATTGACCCCAACCTCCCTCCACTACCCAAGTGTTCCACCCCTCTGAGGAAAAAAAATCACTCAGCCTCTATTTGGAATAGGCCCTCACTAATACTTAAACAGTGACCCCTTTGTTTCTGAAGAAGGGTCGAGACCCGAAACATCAGTCTTCCTGCTCCTCTGATGCTGCTTGGCCTGCTGTGTTCATCCAGGTCTACACCTTGTTATATCAGATTCTCCAGCATCGGCAGTTCCTACTACCCCTTAGTACAAGATTCTTCCATCCATAATGACCCCTCAGGATTTTATATGCCTCTATCAACTCCGCCCTCACTCTTCAGAACTCCAGTGGAAAGAAGCCCAGTCTGTCCAACCTTTCCTCATCAGACAACTCCCTCATTCCAGGGATCAATCCAGTAAACCTCCTTTGAACCACCTCCAACGCATTTACATTCCCTTCCTTCAACAAGGAGACCAAAACTGTGCACAGTATTTGAGACATGGCCTCACCGATGCCATGTAAATGAATCACTCCTTCACATGAAGAACCAATAATAAAATCAGACAATTCCTCACTGGCTGTATTTGGGGAAATTGGAGCTTGCTTTGCAGACATTGGTTTTCATGTTTCCGACAATGTTACAGTCCTACAGTGACTACAATGTTCTTCAGGACATTCTGAGGATAGGAATGATGCTACGGAAATGCAAAGTTTTCCTTTCCTTTCAAATGATGGGAAAATAGGATCAACTTACATTCATATAGCACATGACTATTTACAGCCAATGAAGTACATTGCAAGCTTATCTATTGTAGAAATGTCCAAAAATTAGTTTTATTTTATAGTTGTAGGGTCATAGAGTCATGCAGCACGGAAACAGAACTTCCAGTCCAACGCATCCACACCAACCAGGTATCCCAATCTGACCTAGCCCCTGGTGTTTGTAATCAGGTCAGCCAGATGGATCTCATATGGAGGAATTTGAATTCAATAAAAAAATCTGAATTAAGAATCTAATGATGACCGTGAATCCATTGTGGATTGTTGGACAAACCCATCTGGTTCACTAATGTCCTTTAGGGAAGGAAACTGCCAGCTTTACATGGTCTGGCCTACATGTGACTCCAGACCCACAGCAATGTGGTTGATTCTTAACTGCCCCCTGGGCAATTCGGGATGGGCAATAAAAGTTGCCTGGCCAAGCTGTGACACTCACATCCCACGAATGAATAAAAAAAATACAAGTTTACTGATTGGGGCTGTTAGTCTGGTCCATGTGTAAATAAATTGTGATTTGGAGACAAGATACTCGCCTCTGTGCAGCTATTTCACCCAGCATTTGGCCCATATCCCTCTAAACCCTTCCTATCCATGTACCCATCCAGAGGCTTTTTAAATGTTGTAATTGTACCAGCCTCCACCACTTCGTCCGGCAGCTCATTCCATACACGCACCACCCTCTGCATGAAAAAGTTGCCCCTTTGGTCCTTTTTAAATCTTTCCCCTTTAGTTTTGGATTACCCACCCTGGGAAAAAGACCTTGGCTATTCACCCTATCCATGCCCCTCATGATTTTATAAACTTCTATAAGATCACCCCTCAGCCTCTGACGCTCCAGGCAAAATAGCCCCAGTCTATCCAGCCTCTCCTTGTAGCTCAAACCCTCCAATCCTGGCAACATCCTTGTAAATCTTTTTCTGAACCTGTTCAAGTTTCACAACATTCTTCCTGTAGCAGGGAGATTAGAATTGAACGCAGTACTCCAAACACAGCCTCACCAATGTCCTGTACAGCCGCAATATGAGCTCCCAACTCTTATACCCAATGCTCTAACCCATAAAGGCAAGTGTGCCAAATGCTTTCTTCGCCACACTGTCTATCTGTGGTGCCACTTTCAAGGAACTATGTGCCTGAAACCCTAGGTCTTTTTCTTCGGCAACATTCCCAACGGTCCTACCATTAACTGTGTAAGTCCTGTCCCGATTTGCCTTACCAAAATGTAGCACCTCACATTTATCTAAATTAAACTCCACCTGCCACTCCTCAGCCCACTGGCCCATCTGCTCAAGGTCCTGTTGTACTCTTAGATAATCTTCTTCACTGTCCACTATACCACTTACTTTAGTGTCATCTGCAACTTACTAACCATACCTCCTATGCTCACATTCAAATCATTTATATAAATGACAAAAAGCAGTGGGCCCAGCACCGATCCTTGTGGCACACTGCTGGTCACAGGTCTCCTGTCTGAAAAACAATCCTTCATCGCAACCCTCTATCTCTGACTTTAAGCCAATTTTGTATCCAATTGGCTAGCTCTCCCTGGATTCCATGTGATCTGACCTTATTAACCAGTTTACCATGCGGAATCTTAGCGAATGCCTTGCTGAAATCCACACAGACATCTACCACTCTGCTTTCACCAATCTTCTTTGTTACCTCTTCAAAATACTCAACTGAGTTTGTGAGACATGATTTCCAATGCACAAAGCCATGTTGACTATCAGTAATCAGTCCTTGCCTTTCC